ATAAATAAGGAAATAGGAAATCATGATGCTTTTGAAATAAATTAAACACTATCTACAGATTTTCATCGAAGCATTTTTTATGATAGTAATTTTAATTACTGTCAGATATCATCTATACTGGACCCAACTATGTTACGTCCCCACTGTACCATGACCCGACTGTGCTGGTATTTTTTTTATATTTTTCAATTAAATTAAAAATATATATGGTCCTGAAACAAATAATACAAATTAAATAAAAAAAAAAAATAATGGTATTAAAATAAAATAATATATAATAAAATAGTAAATAAACGCAAGGATGAAATATCAAAATTAACTTTATTGGATCATTAAAAAAATCAAAATTTTTACTGTATTACAATTTAAAAATGTAATATTTAGTAATTCATAAAGACTATAATATTATTTTAGTGTCGTATTATAAAATGTAGCAGAATTGTTGGATGGGTACATTAAATTTACTATTATATATGAATGTTACATAATTTTTGAAATTTTCTTTTTGAGCAATTCTAAATTGAAATGATTAGCATTATAATTTATATAAGCGTTAATTTTACAATTCTTTTATAATTATATGAATTAATCATAATATGATTTCTGAAATAACACTCTAGAAACCTATTTAAATCAATTTGAAATTTACTATAAATCAAATAATGTTTTAATTAAAAAAAAAAAAATTTAATTTATCTGCAAACAAAAGATAATCACAATACACACATATATATCAATGATCTTGTAGATCATTCATGAAATCGATAAACAATAATGAAATTGAGGTAATACCCTAAAATATCCTTGAATGCACAGCTATTAAATTAAAAGTAGAGTTTATTTACATATGTTGTAATTTATGTTATTTACAGGTTTAAAAGATTTCATGGTAAATACGGACATCAAATTTAATAAAAAAATAAAACTTTTGATTTATATTTATATTTTTAATTTTATAATGTTATACTTTTTTGAAAAATGTATGGATCAATACAATTTTTTTATTATAAATACTATTTAAATAAAACCATTTACTTTTAAATATTTATATATTAAAAATATATTTTAATATATATTAAAATATATATATTATAAATCATAAAACTTTATGTCTTCCTCTTTCATTCGACATACTTTATCTTAATAAGGATATAAATAAGAAAATCGGAGATCATATAGCTTTTGGAATAATCCATCAATTTTTTAAAATTAAACACTATTTACAGATTTGCATCAAAGCGTTTTTTATGATAGTGATTTTAATTACTGTCAGATATCATTATACTTGACCTAACTGTGCCACGTCTCCACTGTGTCGCGACTACATTGTGCTGGGTTTTTTAATGATATATTTAATTTAATGTTAACTTAATATTACACTCTTATTTTTTTACAGAAAACACAAAAAATATTCAGAATATACAAAACTTTAGATATTATTGATGTAATTTTAAAAAACAAAATTAATTAATTACACAAAATCAATAAAAAATTTAATATTTTATACTTCACGTTAGTAGAACTAAATATTATAAATTAGGCATAACTTTATTTTAATAATAATAAATATAAGCCATCAAGTTATATAATGAAAATCATATTATATATTTTAATGGACGATTTGAAATTTTTTTTGTGGAATGTTTTGCAATTACTGAACCGATTTTAAAGACCAGTAAGTAAAAGAACCTAATTTTAATTTAGATGAACAAATCGTTACCGAAAATTGGAAAAAATACCCTCTATATTGGAAATTTAATATATATCAAAATCGCGTTACCGTAAAATAGCATATTTTAAAGTATTTTTTCGGTATGAAAACTGTTATAACTCATTGAAAAGTTTACTGATTCAAGCAAAATTTTAAATAAGTATATTAAAAATAATAGGTTTTCGTTTAGTGTACATTTTATAAAAGTTAATGAAAAAACTTAAGTACAGAAAGAGTTTGAATGAGCACACCTACGCATGTAATTTTTTTTTCATTTTAAATTTTAAAAATGTTTGAGAAGGTCTGAAGACTTTTATTTAATATTAAATTTAAGTATTTGTAGTGTACTCTAACACAAGAAAATGTTTTTCGACGATTGTTCTTCTATGAGAAATTAGCCTTAACAGTTAAAAAATTAGCTATTTTAAAAAAAACTCCACAAAACTAACTATTTTTAAATATTACCAATTATTAAATCGGAAACCATTTTCTTAGATAGATATTTTTATAGTTTGTTGGTTGGTTAAACTTATATGTTTCTAGATTACCTAGAAACAAATTTTTTTTGAAAATTATATGAAATTTGAATGTAAGATACTATTAATTTTCGAAAATAATAATTATATTATGTTTTATATTTTTAAAGATATTATGTGAGTTATATTTAAATAATCATCCTGCGTAGTGCTGGAAAAATATATCTAATCCCAATCTATCAATATAACTTAAACAATAAAGATATTATATAGGTGATAAGATAATAATATAATGATGATAAAGACGATTTAAGTTAAAAATCAAGAGCAAAAATATGATTTTAATAATATATAATATTAATATTATGTATAAATTTTATATTAAATGATTGATATCAAATTTAACCTGCTTGTTATGTAGGTATTACAAACAAAAAGACGGAAATCTT